TTTCCCTTCGAAGTTGTGATAGATGTTGTCAGGGTAAAGCAGCACTTGTCTAAAAATGAGGGAACAGCCTCCACAAACACGTTCATAATGCTGTTTGCAGGTATGTTGGCAAAGCCCAACAGAAACATAGGTTTTTTTAATTAATTTTTTTTTAATAAAAAGTATTTGTGCTGCCTGGCTGTTCACTGCTGCTTTCCCATTCCAGGCAGTTACTGAAAGACCCCCAGGTGTTATTCGCAGGGTACAAGGTCCCACACCCGCTGGAACACAAAATTATCATCCGGGTCCAAACCACCCCCGATTACAGCCCCCAGGAAGCTTTCACCAACGCCATCACAGATCTGATCAGCGAGCTCTCCCTCCTGGAGGAGAGGTTCAGAGTAAGTTTCTTTTTTTAATATATTTTTAATTGCAGGGAGCTCATACACACTACCCCATTATTTAAAGTATCTTAGAGCTGCTACCTCATGGCAATAAATTCATCAAAGCCGCGCAGTGTTGGGTTACCCAGCTCCTGTCAAGGCATGGTGGAGCCTGGCTGCCCTTAAGGGTTATTTGCATGGCCCAGCAAGGGTTCAGTGGTGCTCTGTAATTCCTTAAATGGCCAGCATTGGCTTTCTTGCAGTCTTATTAGTGTAGAAAACAATTTTCTATTCTTCCAAGTGTTTTTTCTTTTATTCTCCTGCCAAAAAGCTGCACAGTAGGTTTTTTTTTTTTGGACTACTTTCCATTGATTCTGCTCAGCTGTGTAATCGTATTTATTTAGCCTTGGATTTTTTTTTTTTTGAGATATAATCTGCCTGAAACATTATTCACACACAACCAGGGGAACTATGAGTAGGAAACACTCTATATTGTGTTCTTTGATGTGCTGGTAAAGGTAACAGTGCACCAATTTTCTATGGTTTGATCTTAATTTAAGTATTATTTTTCTGGATGGTGTAGAAATTTCCACTGATGGCTTGCAGTTGTTGTGTTTCATAGAAGACTGGTATGGTTCTTTAAACTAACCTCCTCTGGCTCAGAAAGAGCTCGTGTCTTAGTGCATGTCTCTCTGTTTTACAGGTTGCTATTAAAGACAAACAAGAAGGAATCGAGTAAAATCACCCCCTTCAGAGCGGACTGTACTTCTGAGGCAGAATGATGTGTGTGGCGGCTGAATGCTATATTTAAACCTCCATTCATGGCAAATATTTTCCTCCTTGTCCCACTGCTGTTTAATTTTTGACAGCAGTGGTGATATTTTGAGGGATATTTGAGACAGGCGCTTTGCCAAGAGGATAAATGTCTTGTTTGATGTGATGGATAAGTCATTAAAATGATTTCTACTTTTCTAATTGGAGCCTTAAGGCAAATATTTGTACTGGGCTGTTGATGAGTTTATTGCGAGTGTACTTTCAGAATGAGAAGCTGCCGCGTGACAGCGGTGGATGAACTGTCTGCTTTTCCTTTTCAAGAAGTCTAGGCACTGCCAACTGAACTGGTATTTTGTTTTATTAAGTGTCATTTCTATAAAACAAATGCACAAATTGTGAAAACTTACAGTAAAAGAAACCGGATGTTTACAATGACTTGATGAGTTTAACAAACTCTTACTTTTTTTTTTCTTTTTTCTTTTTTTCTCTTGCACGTAATAACTGGTCTAGAAAACTGCATGGTTACATGGGTAACAGTCACTAATACTGCACTATTTCAAAGCACGGGAATGAAACTCTGTTACAAAGAACTATGACTTCTTCCAAATTGCTGTTATGTTCACACTAGTTAGAACAACAAGGTAAGTAAAAGTAGGGTCTGATACCACATTGTTTATTAGGACTTCAGTCAGCTGCTCCCCATTCACTTGAAGCTCTGGCCATTTGAGAATCTACGAGGAGAACAGAGTTTGGGTAGGAAAGGAAGGGTGGTATTGTCTCTGAAAGCAGGAGGGTGTTAATTACTGCCAGGCCTGGTTCGGGGATTGAGCCTCTGGGGTAGCTGCACCAAAGGCTCTTCCCCTGTCTGAGGGAGGTGGTGCAGCTTTACGATCCCCCTCCTAAAGGAGCAGGGGTTAATGCAGAGGGACTTGATCAGAAAGGGAAAAAGCGAAAGCAGCTGGAACTGACTGTTGACTTGGGCAACATGTTTGCAAGAAGCTTATGGAACACTAGGTCGCCTCATACATAAATATTATGATAGCTCAAGACCAGGCTCTGGAGTGAGAGCTTTTGAATGTGTGTGTGATGGTTCAGAGCCTTCACCAAGCAAGGGAACAGTAATTGTCCAAAAGACAACTATCACCGCAGGCCAGGGAAATACCAAGCCAAAAAAAAAAAAAAAAGCGGTGTGAGCATGCAGAAGCAGCGAACCCATCAGGGAAATGGCGTCTGTGTGCTGGTATTGTCAGGCTCTCCAGTTTGACCACTAATTTTTTTCAGCGGGCCCTTCTGCTAGGAATAGTTGCCAAGCTGCAGAACACAGGAGCAAACAGACTTGCTTTACAGCTCCTCATTCCTGTCACTGTTGTGTTTGTGTGAGATTTGAAAGATGGCCTTGGTCATGCTCTGGAGATTGCTTTTAATTGCTTGTGCGTGTTAGGTAAAGAAAACCGTTGGCAAGTTCTGGTGTAAATCTGCTCCACGGGGGAGGGAGAGAGGCCCAGCTCTGCCCCAAAGGGTAAATTAAATGAGCCCTACCTGGGTGGGTGGGATCCTCTTGTCAGAACGTTTTCCCTTTGCAGACCTCCATGCTGTGGTGTAGTTTGAGAGGTTGTACATCCACACGCTTCCGTTCTCATCACCGCAGAAGACGTAGTCTTTTGCTGTAAGACCAAAGGAAGAAGCTGGAAAACAGGTGCAGCACTGTGCCTCCATTCTGCTATAAAGCAGAGCTCAAGCCAGTGTCGTAGGCTCCCAGCTGAGGACAGCACATTTCAGCAAAACTCTTATTTCCAGCACAATTTCATCTACCTTGCTCTGAAAAATTTATTTATTTAAAGATAAAATGGCTATCTTACTCTAGTACGGAAAAGCTAGTGATAAATGTTTTGGGACTTCTTCTGACTGTTTGGTTTTGGAAAGGGGTGACCAAATCAGGTTTATTCCTTGTGAGTCTTAAAAGCCAGCTGCCCTGTGTGTGGGACTCCTGGCCCTCACGCCGGCCGCAGTAAGCACTAGAGCGGGTCTAGGAAAGCTACAGGGCCGAGCCCTCAGCTCTGTCTGCTTTGAAGACCTGTACAAGGAAGATGACGTTGGCACTGTACAGTCGGTGTAACACTGTAAGCCCAAGCCGTTCCCCTGTTGTATGGCAGATGGTATAGCTGCATTCACGTAGTGTAGTATTTATATACAGCTGGTGCTGGGCTGCGTGTTGAGCCGAGGGCTCTTGCTGCTCGCAGAGGGGAGACCAGACCCGCTCTCTCACGGGGACTGAAATGCAGGCCTCTGCCTCCCACTACGGGCTCCTCTGACGGGCAAAAGGGGAGGCAGCCACAACCCTTCAAAGTAAATCTTGACCTGTGTGGCCCCCTCTGCTACGGTGACGGGTACGGCCTTGCTGCGTGCCCCGAGGAAGGGTGCTGCCTACCTGGGCAGGTGCTGAGAGTCAGGTAGGACAGGTCTGTCACGGACCACTCCAGCTCAGCTAGAATAACTGCAGAAACTGTTCGCTGGCATCCTTTCCCCTTTGCATCAAAAGACCGACTCCAGCTCCATAAGTATATGCAACCTGGTTTAGAGCTCTTGGAAACTGGGGAAGAAAGAGGGGCGAGGCTGTGTCAGTTGCCGAGAAGCGAGATGCCTCAAAATAAAGGCTGGCCTCTGGTGAGGGTGGTGCACCCAGAAGGTGTATTTTTAAGACATGGGACCTGATACCAACAGCAACTCTTTCTACCTCCTTTACCTGATTTCAGGATAATTGGAGGCTGCGGGGGGATTTTCAGTCCCACACTTACGTTCCTGAGCTGTAGAACAAGCACAAGCTCTTCAGAAGGCCCCAGCCCATGCTTTAAGCACTCTCCCAGATGTGGGAGCCCCCAGTTCCCCTGCAAAAATAATACTGCTGCTACCGGCCCTTGAGCAGAAAGGAGCTCTCCTCTCTTCTGCTTCAGCTCTCAGGGATGGCTCCATCTGAGTTCCAGCCCTGCCCAGACCTGGGTTTGCACCTTAAGCCCACATTTTAGGGAAAAGTGACTCTGGGAGACAACTCCATTCTGTGTAGCCCCCACAAATCTGAAGAAGAGGTAGTCGCACCCCATTCAGTCCCTCTGCTCACCATGCTGGCTTCAGCCTGCCCCACGCTGAGGTGCCTGACTGTTTTTCTGGGATTAGGCTATTGTGCTTATACTCACCAATGACATCATCATTCAGAAAAGCCAAACCGTCAACCCTGTGAGATGTTGTCAAGCCCCCATCCTCATCGGGAAACTGGAATATGGCTTCAAAGGGCCTAGAGCGGGGGGAGGGTGAAATGAGTCAGCTGTGGAGGGCACTTGGGTACAGACCCCAGAAGGAAATTCGTGGGTTAGTGAGCCTCTTCCAAACTCAGCTGCGTTCCCACTTGAACTTACGCTTTCGGCCACCTGGGATTATTAATATAGCAGGAGCTCATTTGCTTAAGAGACTGCTGTTTTACTTCGTGTGTTTTTGTAGGCATCAGGGTTAGTGTATGTCACCAGGGCAGGACTTCACGTCTTCTAATTTTTTTTCTGTGCTCCGACAGAGTGCCAGTTTCCTGGGTAACCTCACGTACCAGAAGCAGGGTAGGTCTCGCTGAGACTGGAACTTGATCCAAGAATTTACACTCCCTTACACTACTCCACGATGATACGCCCTTATGTGTGAGGCTATTGTATTACTCATGTCAGCCCTCCTTCAGAGCAGCCTGCAGCACTCATAGAACAGCGCATCACTACAAGCCCATGGCTGCTAGCTTTGAAAACTCCTTTAGTGTTCTGCTAGGTTTGTTTTTTTTTTCTTGCTATTATGGGGTAGGGAGCATGTTTTAAGTTTGACAGGACATGCTGCTTTTGCTCAGACCTCCTCAGTTAGAAATGAAGCCCTTGCTAAAACTACCTCTTCTTGTTATGGAAAGAAAATGCATGCCCACAACTTTGGGTTCTCACCTGCTTTTTTGTTCTTTGTCCAGTTTTATATTCCAGGCAAAGCAGCCGTCTTCACAGCCAGCCAGCAGGTACTGATCTGGGCAGGTGGGGACCAGGGCAATCCGTAAGGGGATAGAGAGCGCTTCCAGCACTAGCAGCTGGCTAAAACAAAACAAAACAAAAAAGAACCGGCAGTTAAGTGGTGCTGCGACGTGATAGTTATAGGCTCCTGGACTGGCCACATCTGGTTTTTGAACCTTTACCTTGCTTTGAAATTGTAGTCACAGTCTGGAATCCCAATATCCCAGAGTGCAATTCGCTTGTCATAGGATGCAGCTGTGGGACACAGAAGAGAAGCAGGTAGTGACACCGCTGCTCATCTGGCTCTTCTCCTGCTAGCTGGCAATTCTACCTGTGTCACAGGCTGTAACGCTCTACGCCTGTGGCATCAGAGAGCTCATTAAAGCACAGCAACAGTCACCGAGGCTCCTGGCTCAACATCACTTCACAGACATTGTCAAACATGCACGGTCAGTAATTTGCATTCTTATCCTGTGCTCTAAGAGGAGCAGATACAAGAAAGTTTGTTTCCCGGTGTCCATTACTTAAATTGTGGCTTCACAAGGTCATTAATTAGTGTTCCTTTCAGCTCACGTTTCTGGTCCTGGGTTCTAGTGGAATCTTAAATATGAGCTCCAACCTCTACTCTCGGGCTGACACCACTTTATTCTACCTATCCACAGGTTCCTGTGTTCACAGCCACAGCAGCTCCCCTTGGGAAAGTTAGGCACTGATGTAAGTGTGAAAGACAACGTCTTTTTCACCAAGCTGATATACTGACAGCAGAAACAATCCTAAGAGATTACTCAGAGTAATCTGGATCCTAATCAGATGGCATCCCTCAAACTCAAAGTAAACGGTTAGTGTCCAGTCCCTCAAACAGGCATGCAGAAACTCTCACTTTATTACTATACATTTTTCTATGCAATATAACGAGCCTTGCTGTCCACACCATTACATGGATGTGCTGTCAACCTCCTCATCCCTCTAGGCTTCTGCTTTTTGCACTTTTGGGTTTCTTCTTGAAAAGTATCCAGTATGGATACCAATGTTTTTAAAAAAAATTTCTCCTTTTAATGGTTCACATAGCAGTCTAACCACTCCAGGATGTGGGTAATTGTAGGTTAGAGAAACAATGCGCTGCGGGGTGCAGGTGTGGTCCGAATGGCTCTGTAACAGCTTACTTTACAGGCCTGACAATGCAGCTGCAATTTGTAATATGATGGCTCATTTCCTAGCAGTCCAAAAGCCTCAGCCTCTGTGGGCCCTACTGGGGCAACGCTCTCTGCTACATCAGGACCAGAATAAAAAATTTCTGAGGAGGCACAGAACTAAAAAAAGAAAAAAAAAATTCATTTATTCAAAAGCGATTAAGCACATAGTTATGCTCGTTGGAAAAAATGAAATCCAACAGCCCGTTATACGCTGCCTTGCCCCTGTTGCCATGCT